GGAGGTCTCTATTCGTAGGGTCATTGTAAGTCAAAACCTCCTTGACAGCAAATAACAAAAAGAACAAATCTACACTACGCAATTATAGCACTTTGATGCTGCTTTAATGGCCATGGTTCCATCCTGTGGAATCCTGGCATTTATAGTTTTGCTGAGGGATTTAGTATCCTTTCCTAGAGAGTTTAAATGCTGTAGTTCAAGAGAGTTGACTAGAGCTCAGAGACCTCACCAAATCAAAATCCCTCACATAGTCCGCCAGTTCCAGTATTTTGGAAGGCAGCACTATGACAGTTAAAGTGTGGTGAGGGTGGGCTACTGCTCAAGTTGCTGGGGCCACTTTCCCCCATTGGCCACAGTGTACTTCCCAACATGACTAAGAGTGGCATTTGGTCTTGGTTTTTAACAGAAATATTGCTATTTTTCTTGGGGTAGTGGTAACCCAAACCTCAGTGTTTTTGTAGCAGTTGGGATATATATGTGTGTGGACTTTAGCTGAATTTTCCTCACCCTAAAAGTGGGGGAGCTACACCAGTGACTTACAGCCTGTTCCATTTTGAAGGTTCCATTTTGAAATAACTGGACCTGAGTTATTTGTGTAGCATTCTCTTCAGTCAAGGTAGACAATTGCATGGAGACCAAGGACTGATTCTTCAGAAACTGGTGATCCCAAATAGCTCTATCTTCCTCAGAGATCTTCCCAAAACTATGCCTGGAAATGATGTCACATCACTTTGTGTCACCATTTTGAGAAGAGCTCTGAGGAAAATAGAAGTATTTTGGATGTTAGGGAGTTCTCTGTGGGGCTGGGAATGTTTTTGTACCTTTTGGCCTCGCAGTATGTTTTTTTGGAGGAGGATGCACACACCCAAAAATAGCATTAAAATTGTTTTAAAAATTGAGTGTTGTGTTTTCTGGAATTGACTGGCACAGGGCTTTGGATTCACTGAAGTGGGATCCAGGAGTTGCACATGGCTGGCATCCTTCACTTTGCTCATTTTTTCTTCAAATGAAGAGATATGTGATAGCTAATGGGTTTCTTTTGCTTTCTTACAGAGACATCCAGATGGTGTTGCATCTGTTTCATTTAAAGAGGCAGAGGAAGCTGATGTCTGCAAACAGGCACTGAGTGGGCGGTGGTTCGGTGGACGTCAGCTCAGTGTGGAAACATGGGATGGTGTCACAGATTATCAGGTAACTCTCTCTCTCTCTGCTTTGTAAGATATTTAAAAGTATGTCCAGAGTGATTTGATTTAAACCTTTGATTTAAAGTACAATGTAAATCATCAGCCAAGAAACCTGAATTAAATTATTAGGTAAATAATGTATCCCTAGGTGTCCTTTCACATATTACTTGGATCAGTTAAGGTTTCAGCAACCTTTTGTAATTCTTTTAAAATAAGTCTCATTGTCCTTCACAGTTATGCCAATTTTTATGGGATTAGGTACAATTGATTCTGAGGCTACAGGGATGCTCTTGCAAAATAAATCTAATACAAACTTAGCTGTAAATTTTGGATGTTAAACTTGCAAGCAAAAAAAAAAAAAGCTCTTTTCCCCCCCTTTTTGATGAAACATTAACATGACTGTTGTATGTGAATGCAGGTTGAAGAGACTGCAAGAGAACGGGAAGAGAGGCTGAAAGGGTGGGAAGCATTTATAGGTGATCCTAATACAGAAATGCCAAAAACCGCATCCGATGCAAATTCTTCGGAAACTGGCAAACAGCTGCCTGAAGGAGTTCAGCCATCTAAAGATAACGGTGCCTCTGAGGGTGGCCTGAAGGATGAACCGGTGGAGAAAAAAGAGAACACAGAAGGTGCCAATGAAGACGTCACGGCATCCACAGACAGCAGTGTTGCAGGCAGTGATGAGGAGGCAGAGACATAATGTTGCTAACTAACTCATTTGTAAAAGCATGTATTTAGGGTAACCTTTAGAGTTCTGTTATCCTGTGCTTTGGTACAACTACAGGCAGCATCAGTGAATATATGAACACATTTCTTTTTATATATATATTCGGATTGGCTGCTGTTTCAAGCTCTGTGTGTATGTGTCATAAGTTGTCACGAGCCCGGCTGATCTGACCAGCCGTCTTTAGGTTGTAACTTTGCTTGGCAGTGTTCAAAATCCATCAGTGTAAGTGAAGTACAAACTTGGAGTTCCATAAACTACACACTGACCTTTAGAAAATAGATGAATGCTTCCTCTCCCCTGCTCCCATTATTTGTTTTAATCTCCCTCCTGTCCCAAACTGCTTGTACTCTCCCTGTATGGTATCAATCATTATTCTCCTTGGATAAACCAAATTGTGCTTGGATCAGCTGTTATTCCTAATAATAATTCTTTTAAAGTAAGAGAATATTGACAATACATGGGTGGATATCCTACATGGTCAAGTGAAGTGTCGAGTTCTGCCTGTGGGGCTCCACTATGTCTCCTCCATCAACACATACAAGACTCACCAGTGTGCTTTGGTTGCCCTGCTCCCCCATGGCCCTCTTGTTGCTAATGGAAAGCAGGGGGTAATGGAGAAGCAACTGGCTGTGTTCCTGTATCCAGGCGATATCTGCCAATATCCATTGGGGTCTTCCAGAAATCTCAGCAGGTGATGTCATTATTTCACGTCTGGCTACAAGGACATAACCAGGTGTATCTACAGTCCCTTCCTCTTTCTAGCAATAGAATGGCCATGGATGGGGGCAGCTGCAGCCCAACAGTGAATCCTAGTGGGGTTTGGATGTTGCAGAGGTGGTGGAAGAAAATGCCAACCTCTGCAAAGAGGAGGAAAAAGGCATACACATCTGTGTATGTCACCGACAGGTTGCCGGCCTGGATGTATTGAGGGCTGGGTGTTAAAGAAAACAATGTTATACTATAGTTAAAGATCAGTGAGGTGTTCTGAAGGTATCAGCCGTATAGCTAGAGTCCCCCCGCATCCCTGATTTGCAAGTTTATGTTGAGAGGGGCTTGGTGTGGAATGGAAAAAAATTGTAAAGATTAATCTTTGTTTTAAAATTTTTCTTTTGATAAATTTGTTTGGGAAACGCAGAGAGCTTGTGTGGTGAAAGTGTGATCTCCCCCCCGGCTGTTATTTCTTGCATTCAAATGTAATTAGGTTCATGAGTTTGTTAGGAATGAAGTCTATATGGAATCTGTTTTATACTTGGATTGACTACAAGAGACTCTGAATAAAAATCATTTTGAGATCCAGTCTCAACTTGTGGCTCAGATTTCTAAATACAGGCGGACAGATTTATAAAGATTAGACATTTGGCAATAGTGAAGATTGATTTTTTTTTCTTTTAAAGGGGATATCCAAATTCTCTTAAATTTATTTTCTACCATTTATCTCAATTAGGGTCTGAGTGTTTGACTTATCATGGTTGCAGTCGGAAACAATGATGAGTCAGAGCCTGGTGAAACTTTTGTCTTTTGAACTACAACTCCCAGAATCCCCTAGCTAAAATGGCAGCACGGATTTTGGAAGTTATACCCACAAAAAAACTTTATCCAAGTTTTGATCTGTCCTGGCAAGAATTGCCATTGTTGAACCTCTTATCTCACTTTGTATGCAAAGGGAGGAG